TCAGGTTGCAAGTATTCCAGGGTCTTGGCAACTCTCTGCCTTCACTGTCTTCGAGCCGATATGCCCCATTGCCCAGGACCGAGATGATTCTATAAGGTCCCTCCCAATTTGGGCCAAGCTTGCCCTCTCTAGGATCCTTCTTGTTGCCGACGACATTTCTTAGGATGAGGTCACCAACTTGAAACTCTCTTGGGTTGACCTTTTTATTGTAAGCCCTGGCAAGCTGCTGCTGGTATGCCCCCAGCTGAATTGTTGCTTTCTCTCCCATTTTTTCTAATAGATCCAGATCTCGGGCCATGAGTGCCTCATTGGTCCCATTTTCTACTCCTTATGTTCTGATCCCTGGGATGCTGACCTCCAGTGGAATAACTGCGTCAGTGTAGTAAGCCATGGCGAATAGGGACTCCGCAGTTGATCTTCTCGGCGTAGACCGATATGCCCAGAGTACACTGGGCAACTTATCCACCCACTTTCCCTTTGTTGCTTCCAGCCTCTTCTTGATCCCATCCAAGATAACCTTATTGGATGCTTCTGCTTGATCATTACTCTAAGAGAAGCTTGGAGTAGAGTAATAATTCTTGATTTTGTACTTTGCATAGAAGCTTTTGATTAGCTTGCTGTCAAACTGTGTTCCATTGTTTGCTACTATTGCCCTCGGGATTCTAAATCTGGTGGTGATGTTCTTCCATGTGAAGCTCTTCACATCAATATCTCGAATCTTTGTAAGGTGTAGACACCCCATTTTTGACCGCCCTTAAGACTTGGGCGTTATTGATGGTTTACTTGGTGGTAAAAGGTGTGCAGGGCAAAGGTTCAATTTCTTCGGCAATGAGAGAGTCAAATCCCAACTTCATGCCCCTTTTGGACCAAAACAATCTTGATCAAAAGATTTTAGATCTTAAAACTCTCTCTTTCAAAATGTTTTGAAAATAAAGTTCCTACGATGTTCCGACGCTCGCATTTCGTTAAATGTTGCGCTTTTCGGTAAACCGAGCAAGGACAAAGTGGAGATGAATGAAAGAGAGATGGAATCTTTGAAAATCTTTCAAAACACTTTGTTTAGGGGTTTGGATTTGAAAAAAAGAGGAAAGGAGAGAAGAAAACTAGCTTGGGAGAAGTTCGGCATGAATCCGGGTAGAAGAGAGTCGAGCAGCCCTCGCTGAATCGGGCTTATTCATCTACATACTTGGATTTTAGCTATGAGGCCACCACCATTGGAAATATTACTTTCGGGGCTTCATTTTTTACTCAAGAATCTCCTAAAGCCAAGTCCGGGTGGGGGAGATATGGTTGGTTGAAGTAGGGGATCAATCCGGTTGGATCGAATCTGCGCGGCTTCACCAAAACGGGCATAACTTTTTGCACAGGAGGAATTTTAATGCAAGGTTTGTGCCATTGGAAAGATAACTTATGGGCTTCAATCTGGACATCCACCAACCACTTTTTGGGCTTGGCAGCCATATACCGGTCACCAATTTAGCTGGCCGGCCAGCAAAATAGTAGGCCGACCATTTATAGTAGCCGGCTGACCGTTTATTTGGCTGATTGTCTCCTTTTCTAGCCGGTACCTCCTTTTTTCCTTTTTCAGGCATGGTGCAAGCCAACTGTGCTAGTTGGAGTGCACGGACCCTCCCCCCCCCATACACGTGTGTGGCTGTTTTGAATCTTTGCACCCTTTTACTCAAGTTTTTTATGGAAGCTTGACCTCTTTTGGTCTAGCTTCTTGAGGAAGCTTGACCCTTTGTCTTAGCTTCCTCAAGAAACTTGGACCTTTGGGTTAGCCTCGTTATGGAAGCTTGACCCCCTTGACCCTTTTATATTAGCTTCTCTAAGAAGCTTAGCACCATTGCCTTGTCTATATAAGGGAGCCTTCCCTCTCCTTTGAAGAGGTTCAGCAAAACTAGACCATATATGATATATATTTGATATATATCACTCTCTCTCTCTATATAACTCCCTCTCTCTCTTCATTTGTATGTGTTTGAGGGCCTAAAAGTGTAGTTTGTTCTTAGTTTTGCTCTAGAACACCTACTATTACACCATACTTCGACTTGGGAGGTGTTGAGAGGTTGTTCTTGGAGTTTTGAGCTGGTTTTGATCGTAAGGAAGAGGTTGAGGTTGTTGTTCTTCAAGTGTTCTTCGAGGGTAACACTATTTGCTTTATATTCCCCAATCTTGCACTAGTTTTTAACCCACTTTGCATGCTATTTTAGACTTTGTGTATAACTTGAAAAAGTCTTGTATTTGCATGTTTAAGATCTTTCATTAAGGTCATTTTGTTTTTTGGGGTCGACCTCCCCTTCTTAGGCCTTGTTTGGCCCTTTTTGGTGCCCTCTTTGTTAAGCTTTGGAGACTTTTGTGTATTGACCTTCTCACCACTGAAATCCAGTGGATTTTCAGTGGTGAAGAAGGGGTCTTCAAGTCTTGCATAGGGGAGGGACACCCCTCTTCCTTTATCTCTCTTTTGTTTACATTTTTGGCTCATAAGGGTAGCATGTATACTTAGTTGTTTTTGGCTTCATTTCAGGGGGTTTTGGGTGTTATTTGGTCATATTACATCTCTTTTTTTGGTCAAATTAATGGCCCCTTGCATGCATAATATACTTGCTTTGAATTCCTCCTTTTTGCCTTGAAATGTATCTTGCCTTTAAGACCATCATGCTTGCATGTTCTTGCCTAACTTTGTGAAGTTCTTGGTCATATTTCATCGTGCTTGAGGTCTGTTAGGCACTAATTTGATCATATTCGCCATGTTTGGTATAGCCTCTTTGCATTTTGGCTTGTGAGTCATGAGCATGCTTGAGTTAGGTTGTTTTAGTGATTTGGAATCTTTTCCCATGCCATTTCATCCATGTTTTGTGCTTACATACTTGCATTTGTTCTTCTTTTATGCCTTGAAGAGGTGTGGTCTCATGCTCCATGTTTGGGCTTTTGTGCATGCCTATGTGTTTGAGTCATTTGAGCTTCCATAACAGTGGGTTTTGGGACTTATTTTGGTGCATTGTAACTCTGTTTTTGGTTGCATAGTCCATACCATGTTTGCTTGGGATAGGTGTTGGGCAATGCTCTCTTTTGTGGCCTTGAATGCCTTCTCTTTTGCATCCATTCCCTAGCACGTTTTGGCATCATTCTTCGTATGCTTCTCAGAGTTTAACATAAGTGTTTAACGTCCATGTATATCGCCTTCAAGTATGCCTAGAGTTGTCCCCTTCCATGCTTAGATGATGAACCTTGTTGTGTGCATGTTTGCATGCAAAATTGGTGCTCTTTTGCACCATCTTTGGCTACTATTTTGGGGCATGGCTGAGGCCTCCCATTTCAGTTTAAGACCACCCTTGTACATAATTGCATACTTGGCATGATGTATGTTGCATTACATTAGTTGCATGCTTGCATTATATCTTGTTTGCATTTTTGCATATTACTTAGCTAGTGGCATCACATGACCTTGTTGCATACTTGGCATACTAATGTAACATTAGATTAGCTTGCATGTCTTGGTAGTATTGCATTGTATTAGGCTAGTATGCTCATATTGCATTGCATTAAGTTGTATCATTTTTCATTATATATGACATACATGCATTGCATTAGGTTTGGTTTGGGGTGTCAAACCAAATCTGAGGAATGGGATGCGTTCATACTTGAAGTCATGTAACGTGCCTCACTCCTCGATCGGCGATGCCCTTGATCTTAACATGATAGGTTGTTGTCATTCATGTGTTTTGTTGCATGCACTTACATTGAATGGCAAACTTAGCCTCTTAGGCCATTATGCATCGAAATGCACAATTGATGGCCCGAAGGTCGAGGGCCACACTCCCTTGAGTCCATAACATGATTAGGAGAGTGGCCATGCACACATTTTCTTGAAAATTCCATGCCATACACTGCTTGCCCTCTGCTGCTATTGGAGATTGAAGAATTTTATTTGTTTATTTTTTGCCAAGCAATAGACGAATCTCTAATCCCTTGATCCCATGTTTTGAATCATCACCCATTGTCAACTGAGGTCTTTTCTTTTTAGTCCATCCTCGAGCCACGAAACTGATATATCACTGGTAACATTGCAGCTAGGTTGAAGGCACTTATTTTAAGGTTTCATAATTACTCAAAGTTCTCATTTTGGTACTGTATGTAGCCTCGATTGGTTAGTCTTCAATTTCATTGTTCTTTATTATTTGTGTTGTTTAGCCGGATCTGGAATGAGACTTGGTTGGCAAGCCTTTTCTACAAACCTTGCAACTATGAGTTATTTGTCAAGCAATCCCTCAACATGGAACATTTTTCTCTACTTAGCCCATAGAACATTTTTCTCTCTAACTTATCTCTTTTCTCTACTCAGCATATAAGTAATTGAGGACAATGAAAATGAAAACCCACTAAGAGAAGCGAGAACAGAGCAAAATTCAATGCACAAACTTGAGAGTCCATAGATCAACAACACAAATGTCAATGGCAGAGCAGCTTAAACCATTCTCCCCTGTTGACAACCAATTCACCATAACTCTAGAGCCATTCAATGCTTATGCTCAGTAATTACTTGATACATATGAAGCATGGACTTTATGTACTCGGGATTAACAAGGCCCAAAAAGTTAGGAACAGATAAATTAATCAGTGAGCTAGACAATCTTCTCGCATGAGTCTTATATTCTTGTGATTCTAGAGGGTTGTATTGTATCTCTCCAGTTTTGTATTTAGTTTCTGTGCAAGTAACAAAACTGTATTGCGAAGTCCCAAACACTTTTGTGACCAAAAAAAAAAGAAGTGTGCTTTCATCTTGAAATAGAGGTGATAAGTAGTTACTGCATTAGTTCATGTATATATAAATCTAGAAACATTCTTCAATGGTTTTTTGTTTTGAACCTAAACATGGCAATAGTCTGACACCCTTTTTTATCTCATCTTCTCCTCTCTTCTCCTTCTTTTTATGCTTCATACTTCTCCCATTCTCTCTCTCTCCTTCTTTTTATGCTTCATACTTCTTCCATTCTCTCTCTCATACACATGCAAGTCAAAAAAAAAAAAATCTATCTAACTAGAGAAAAGGGCCTAACAGAGGCAAAGGTAAAAATCCTTTTCACGGCATGAGATGCTGCTTAGATGCTTTAAAGCTGATTGACTAAGACATATCCTTCTCACAATAACCATCAAAGCCAATATATCTCCTCCCAAGTACATTTTATGCTCTGTGTCATCACTCATGGTTCACTCTTTCAAGTCTTTGTTGTGTGTCCCACCATCACACCCAAATGACTCTTCAACCACCAATGAGGGTTTGTGATAGTGGGAAGGTTCTGTCTAATGCTTATGTGATAGGAGAATGGTAAAAAAAAGACAGCAACCTACACATATGGAGGTATGGATTAGAATCCTATGTGGGGCTGGGTTTGGCCACCGGACAGACGGTGACGAAATGGACCAGCTGCTACAATTCCTCCGCCGCCGACAGTGTCACCGCCGAGCAGATTGAGCAGGAGCTTCTCAGACTCGTCATCAACGGCAAAGAAAGCAAGTCACCTTCGATGACTTCCCTTATTACCTCAGGTAATTGTTCTGTTCTTCATGCTAAATGATCGAACAATAATCAGTAGTGATCCAAGTTTTTGTTTTTGTTTTTGTTTTTGATTTTTTTTTTCTCAAATAATCTTTAGGCTAAACATCAAAATCAAGCTGTCTTGCAGGTAACAAAATTCCTGTCTTGGGGTTAATGAGATGCACCACTCCTCATCACTGGACGAAAAACAAGAGCCTTGGCTTCACCAAGAGTTGAACTTGAGACCTAGAAGTTATAACTCCCAAGTCTTACCATCATATTCATGAGTTATGGACTGTACTCTAATTATCATACAGTTTGGACTTTAGGCTGGCAGGTGTCAGTTGTGACTAATGAGCCTGGGGCTAGTATAGATGATTTGGTTTTTCAAAAAGCCAGTAATCTATAAGATGAAGGTGTTATGCTATATGCATATCAAATTTTCTCAGTACTATCTGGTAGTTGCTACGATTTTTCATTTTATTTATTTATTTATGACTGATTTTGTGCATCTACACTATTGGAGAAAAAGTGCTGGACTCTGAAACAGCAAACGCACCTTTTTGAGCAAAATTTTCAACCTAAATTATCTTTCATGTATGGTAGGACGGTGGGTTTTCCCATGATATTCCAACCACTCTGCATAGAAGTAATGCTGACTGCCCGGTCCCAGAGGTTTGTATTTTATTTCCTCTTTATTGCAAATTTTCTTAGGTGTTATTCCAGTTATTTAATTTTCATCTTTACGTATATTGCAGGAAATGGTTACTGTCAGTGTTGATGGTTCTGTGCTAGATCGAATTGCTAAAATTATGTCATATCTTCACCTTGGATCATTTGGGAAGGTTCTCAAGAAAAAGAAGAAAGAAAGAGAAGTGAAAGGTATGCTATACTGTTTTTTGAAAAAAACTTGTTGGCCACTGTCACTTTGGTTTGTATTTTTGCATGATATTCCAAGTAACTATTTAATTCCAAATCCATGAGACTTTTCAGAGCATATTCAGCACATCTGTGCTTTAGAACATGACGAAAACATTAACTCTGGTCTAATGGGTAAATCGGAACATAGCCACCCTGATTAGCATGAATATAATTGCTCTTAACAAACTGGTATGAATTCAAAATTCTTCTCAGAAAGGAAATTCTACAGTGATTTAATTAATTCTTACCAGGGGTAAGTTTCTAGAGAATTCATGTGACCATTCATGCAATGCATGCATGGATTATAATGCTATAGTGTCAGCCATTTGGTATCAGATTGGTTAGTTTCGATTTCCTAGGGAGGGTGAGAGGTTTATACTTTTTCGGATTTCCACACTTTGCTGTCTTATTTTGTTTTCTGTATATGTGCATTTCTGTGTGGTGGTATTTGATTCTGTTTTGTAATGAATGCAGTATCCTTGTTTCCCCCCCTCCAATAATATTAAAAACACTAACTAATGTACCAACTACACAATGTTAAGTGAGTCCTAGGTCAAGTGGTGGATCGCACATGTATGTCTTGTGTCTTAGTTGATATGTTTGTTGGTACACTAGTTAGTGTTTTTAGCTTTACTTTTTCTTTGTTCTTGACCTCTGTAATTTCCATCTGCATGTAACACATTGTCAAATCAACAGGAAGGATAGCAATTATTGGTAATGAATATGTTGAAGATGAGAGGGTGTCAAAGCCTGAGGGTGAAATTTTAAAGAACTTACAGAGAAAACCCACCTCCACCTCCGAAGCAGGGACATCCTGATTCAAGAGAGAACCAAGGCCCTAAAGTTTCCAGAGCTGAAGATGACGACATTTTTGTGGGGGAAATTTTGTTACCTGCACTCAAAAGATGATGCTTCAATCTCGTTACCTACAAGACAGGAATGTACTGTGTAATACATTGGCATGAAATTTTGTTTGTTCTTCTTGAATGGCTATGTGATGTATTGCGTTGTGTCACGGCCAGAATTTACTTGGAACCATATTTTTGTATTTGTGTTTGTAGTTGAAGGCCTATTTTCCTTTTGCTAGTGTACTTGCCAAAGTGTTTATGAGGGCTTATGCATCAAAGAATTAGCACAATTTTTAAAAAAAAAAAAGAAAAGAAAAGAAAAATGAAGCTATAACGGCGTTTTTTAAACGCCACTATAGTGTTATATTTTTAAAATAGAAAAAAGGTATTACGACGTTTTTAAAACGTCGTTAAATGTTGGCGTCACTGTTATGTAATACATTTTGCGGTGTTTTTGAAAACGCCGCCTATTCTCATATAACGACGCTTTCGAAACGCCATAAAGATACAGCGACGGCCGCATCTTCGACGTTTGGTATTAAACGTCGCAAAAAGAATTAACGGCGTTTTTGATAGTTATAGCGGCGTTTTTTAAACGCCTCTAAAAGTCTCATTTCCAGCAGTGTCTTGATATAATGAATTCTTCATCTCCAATAATGAATAATTTCCTGCAGACAAGGGTGACTCTATAGCCACCATTGGGTGTTCAATTGAACATTGATGTAGTGCGAAACACGAAATAATAACAATCTTAAAATTGGTTAATTTCAACAAGAATACTGGAAGCAAGATTCATCTCTAAATTCGTTATGATCAACAATAGTTGATTCTCAAAGAATATCCAAGGTTGAAGAAAAAGAGTATATTAACTCACAATTTTATTAATCATAAAAAATTATCTTTTGCCCTAAGGATTACCTTTTTTATTTATATTGAATCTAATTATTATAAAATAAGAAACCAATAAAGCAGGAAAAAAAAAATCAAAACTAGCAAAATAAAAAAATTGTATCATATCAAATCAAGAAATAATTAAATAATTCTATAATATTTTATACTAAATTAGAGTATTTTCCTAAATCAAATATTAATTTTAAAATTCGGTCTCCATCATTCTCCCCCTCTTAAGAAAAACTCATCCTCGAGTTTTCATTACTTAAAAACACTTGGCACGTGTACATCCACTTTGTATTTAAAATTAACTTTCTCGAATCTAAATTTCAAAGAAAAGTTTTCAAAAATTGAACGAGCAACTTTCTTCTTTTGTGTTTGAACACTGTATCTTTATGGCAGAATTTCGTCATCTACAATGGTGCTTAAAAACAATGGATGTCCTGTCTCTAGGATACAACAATCACCAACCACAAACAAAGAGAGCACACTCTTTGATTGTACAACCAAAATTATGTTTTGCACTCACAAAATTCAGACTCGCACAAGTAAAGAGCACATGAAGAATGCTTGAACTTGAGGAATTTGGAAAAAAAAAAAAAAAAAAAACAAAGGGGGGGGGGAAGGGAATTACCAAAACCTCCCTTGAGGTTTAACAAAATTACAGATTCCCCCCTGAGCCCCATCACAATTAACGCCGTTAACGGATATCATAAATTCACTAAAATGCCTTTTTGACAAATAAGGGCAAATAACTTATACACCCTTGAGGTTTAGCTAAATTACAGATTTCCCCCTGAGATTTAGCTAAATTACAGATTCTCCTAAGATTTAGCTAAATTATCAGTTTTAAATAAGTCATGAAATGCAAAATTAAAATGGAAAAACACTTATCACTACAAAATAATTAACGTTTTAGAGATCAAAATTTGGGGACAAAATTGTTTTTAGGGGACCAAATATTTTGTTGCAAAAAGTGTCGTTATTATATTTTGAGTAATGAAAATTGAACACTAGTGATTAATTATTTTCTTTTTGGTATCAAATTTTTTGTCTAAAAAAATAAACCATTTTGAGACCAAATTATTTTGTCCCTAAAGATCTATTTATTATTGACATTTTCAAAATTTTATCGCCAAAAACCTTATTTTTGACTTTTTAGTGAGACTTTTTAGTGATTATCCTCACGATGATAGAAATTAGTTCCTAAATGTCTTTTGCAACAAAATTTTCACTTTTAGAGATCAAAAAAATTGGGCTCTAAAACTCTTATATGTTGTAATGTCAAATGGTGAAAATATCATAAAATTAACAAATAATTAAATAGGTTAAAAACACAAGAAATGGCTTGTCAAAAAATTCTTAGAATATGTTTGGTTTGATTGTTAGAAATTTATTTTTTAATTTTTTTTAAAAAAATTAAAAATTAATTTGGTTAAGAAATAAAAAAATAAAAATTTATTATTATTTTTATATAATTTTATCTTTTGAGTGGTTAGAAATAATTTTTACAAATGAAATTTTTTTTTTCATATTTATTTTTATTAAATTAGTTTTTTTTTTAAATTTTGAAATTTTTTTCTAAACAACAAATCAAACATGGTTCCAAAAACTTAAATTTTTTTTTTCCATCTAACGTAATTCTTTTATAAATTTTGTTGATTTATCAAAGGGATTTCAGCAGGGGCAACATTGTCCATCAATTTATATTTTGGTGATGTCAGCTAACCATTCTTAAGGTTTAGTTAACGATAGGGGTTAAATTGTTATGCAAATATAAACCTTGGAGGGCGGGATATAATTTTTGAAACTTTAGGGGGGAATCTGTAATTTAGCTAAACCTCAAGGAGATTAGGTAATTTTTCCTAATTTGTGAAAAGGGCATTTTACTCAATTTATGATATATGTTAACGGCGTTAATTGTGATGGGACATGATGTAATTTTTGAAATCTCGGGGAGGAATCTGTAATTTCGTTAAACCTCAAGGGAGGTGTAGGTAATTTGTCCATTAATAAATTACATAAAAGAAGTAGCTTTTCTTTCTAAGTGAAATGCTTGGACCACATTTTTTTGGGGGATGGAAATGCTATTTTATCATCAATTTACAAAATTTTTAATCAGAATAATATGGTATTGTATTTTTGAAATAAAGGCCACCCCAAATGGGGGAAATTCTACTTTCGTGGTCTGTAATTTTTGTGATATTTAGTTATAAGCTATTAGATTGTTAGTTATGATTTGGTTATAATTCATTGTTGTGTTATTTATTATTTATTGTGATGTTGATTATGACATTATTTTAGATATAATTTAAAATGTCTTTAGTTATACCTTCTATGGTGTTTAGTTATGACTCATTTTTTAATTATAATTGAAAATAATCTAGTTATGACATTTTTGATAATCAAAATTATAAATGTCATAACTTGCATATAGCATGACCCATCTAATAGGTCTTTTGATTTAAAATAAGAAGACTTAAATATGTCACATCATATATCTGTATATATATATATATATATGGAGAACTTACGTGTAAATTTTAATAGGTGTTAATTTTCAGTAACAGTTTGAAAATTTTGTCACAAAAAATACTACTTATGAGTTTTAGCGATAGTTTTAAAAAATGTTACAAAAAAAGTCACCAATTTCTAACTTTCAGCGACAGTTTGAAAAATTTGTCACAGAAAAAGTCGCTAATTGTAAGTTTCAGCGATAATTTATAAAAACCATGACCAAAAACTAAAAAAATAAAAATAATCAATAATCGTCAATTTTTAGCAACATGAAAAAAATTGTCCAAAAAAATATTTTTAGCGACGATTTTACTAGAACTTATTTTTAATTGAACTTAATGAAAATTAAGTCAAACTATTAGGACCTATTGATAGTTTACCTTATATATATCTATATAAATTTTATGTATCTATATGTTTGATAACCATTGAGTTGATGTTGGTGTCTTGGGAATGCTGTTGTAACCCTTCGTGTGGGGCAATTTGGGTCTATTTCGATTATTTGAATCATTTATATTGTAAGATTTATCAAATAAATGAACTATGAAAAAAATCATAATTAATCATATATTTATAACCACATAATAATAAGATCATATTTATTTATTCTTTTAAATATATGATTTTGATAATATACTATCTATTTTTAGAAAACAACTATGGATCATGTGATTTTGAATGCCTAATTAATTTGATTTTTTTTTGTATGAGTCCTTCCCTATTCCAACTATTGAAACTTGGTGGAATTACAGCCAGGGACGGATCCAGGATTATGACTTTGGGGGGCCAAAGTACGTTTAACCTCTAACAAATAAAATTTGAAGTTCATCGAACGTACAACTACAACCCAATAACCAAAATATAGGAGAAATAAGGGAAGCAAGATATGAATAACTATTCTAAATCATACCAACTCGAATCTAGAATACAATAGATAACGGGTCAAAACCGGAATTGTAATAGCAGAGAGAATGAAAATAAAGAAGGTAAATGGGCATTAACATCATTTTACATTTATTATTAACAACGTTAGTATTACTGTTTAGTCTAAAATGTAAGAGAGGTTTTAGCTATTTTCAAATGTAAGGGAGGTTAAATACTCCAAGACAATACTACAATAAGGTAAAATAGATTTTACCCTGTTAATTATTAAAATTATAATTTTTAACATGAAATTGTAATCATTTTTTAAAAGTATCACCAACAAAATTATTTTCTTATATATATATATATATATATTATGTGTGCTGTTTTCTAACCACACTGCCAATCAGATACTCAGCTGGAGAACACTGGCATAATAGATTGCGCCCGAACGACCTGTCACAGAAAGATGAGATTCCGACGGTGGTTTTTCCAACCGGGGGCACTCCTACGATCAAGTCAGTACTCAATTATCTCTCAAAGATAGCAAATAGTGCTTAACTCACTAGCTAGAATACAAAAAGCGCACGTTAGACCCACATTACTCTTATAGTCAGCACTAACATGTTCCTTATAGAACCCTAGCTTCCCCTGGACTCTGTCCCAATGCTCATCCTGGACTCTCCAATAGATAAAGATAAACTCCCTTAGAGCTTTATCCTTATCCTGGCTGAGGTCCTCCCTTGTTCTAGGACTCTTATCCCTTATCCGTTTATCTCGAATTCTGGTATCTTCATAGGTAACCTCGGCCTAACCGAGATTACTTCGATGTCAAGTCAAGGACACATGGCACCTCGGCTGGTACTTCGGTGCCACCTTGGCCACGTGTTGCTATCCAAAAAATATGTCCCCACAACTGTCCCCCTAGGTTCTATTACCTCGACATCCTGAGGTGAGGGAACCT